ATAATTTTTAATAAAAAAAGTTTAAATTTTTAAAATTAAAATTAAAAGATGTGTCAGATTTTGGATTTTGAAAGCCAAAACAAGCAATTAAATAGAAAATTATTCATTGAGTTCATTTACGAATATGCCAACCAATAATTAGTCTTCTCTGGACGTAATCTTCACAAAATTGATCACCTTTCATCCATATTTTAACGTTACTGTATAAATATATTAACTTTACGCTTAAACGACTTCTTAAGTACTTGTACTTCGCGCAGTTATTCGTTCCGTAGTTAAAACTTCTGAAAAGTTTGTGAGTATATGTAACGTTTCTCACATATCAAAGTTGGCCATTTTACCATTAATTTAAGTCCGTATTTTCACAATTCACACACACACACACACACACACACACACACACACACACACACACACACACACACACACACACACACACATTAAAAAAAAGATAGTTCAGAGTTTATTCTACTCGCAATATTGAAGTAAAATTGAATATTCGCAATGGATAAAGGGTCTGTACAGACAAGTAATTCAAATAAATAGATTAAGGATAGGACACTTAGGAGCTTCCTAGAAAGATCACAAGGTAGAGCTGGACGGTTTATTCGCTTACAAGAGAAAACAGTAGAAAATTGTACAGTATTGCAAAGTGAGACCCGTGTTCTATTCTCTATTTTTCATTCCATAGTAGTTTTTGGATAAATTAAGAACAAATCTGACTCAATTTGCATTATTTTTGATAAAGGAATTCAGTTCGATAAATGTCATTTTTCAGTGGAAATTTAAAAATTTAGGAATACTGAGAACAGGAGCTCATAAAGAAGGCGTAGGTAGATCGATCATAAGATGATCAAAGGTTTTTTATAGATATTAATGCGGAAAGTGTTTACAGAAAAAAAAATTATCCGGCAATCTTAAACTGATCATACTTTGACACGAGATTAAACAAGAATTGATCAACCCTTCTCAACTTTGATCTTTTAGTAAGTTTAATGTCAGTCGAGTTTCTGATTACTAAAATTAGATTTCTGTTAAAGTAGATTATAAATTATACCTGCAACAATTTCCCTAAAAACTATTGAAAGATCCCTGTCTAGATACAAAATAATCACACGGTTCTGCAAAACAATCCATTTTTTGAAGACTTTGTTTTTCCTATGAACGTATATAAATTAGTCTATCTGCATAGATAATCCACTGAATAAGTAAGTATAAAATGGACACTAATGTAGGATTTTTATCATTTGTGTCTTGTGATTTTTTAACAGAACAATTTTAGGAATAGCTATTTATGTTTGGCCTAAAATAAATCTCCTTTCTTTCACAGCAGGTATCTGCTGAAGTACATTTTCTATATATGTAATAATTTTGATGATTACATTGAAAGCAGTTTAATCATCATATCGCATGTTATGTGATAATCTATATTTGCGTTTATGGGTGGCTGGGTGTAATTGAGGCCAAGGAGTTGATAGTGAATATTGAATTTCATGTTTCTAGATATGGTAGCGACAATTTTAGCTAAATTCTCGAATATATAATTGTGAAAAAAATTAATGATAATAATTACAACTTTACTTTCTAAAAACGCAGCTTGATAATTTTTTATTTATTTATAATTTAATTATCTATCGAGTTCTGCTATTTGACTGTTCATAATAATTAATTAAATTCAATTAGCCACACGTATTGCATAAAGCCAAGGGCTGTTTCATAATTAATCACCAATTTCACGGATTTCAATACTAAATTAGTTGAGTAAATAAATGAAATAATCGGCATTTAAGGGTTAGGCCTGTTTGGAACATTTTATAGAGGGCAAGGTAATGAATTAGTAATTAAGTTTAATACATGATCAGTCGAGTCTTTTAAGTTTAGTTTTTTGGGGTTTTGGCAAAATCAGGATTTTAATTGAATCATGCAAAAAATATTGTTTTTGTATATCTATGATTTATTGGAATTTATTAAATTGTCTGGAACGAAGAATGACTTTAAACAATTTTGTTGCTGTTATTGTTGTTATTGCTTCATATAACTGTATAATATAACATATCGATATCATTAATTTTTAAATCTGGCGAAATATACTTTTTAACGATTTCTCTGAAAGCATCATTGGAAAAATTCGCTAACCACAAAGCAAAACATTTGTATAACTCAATTTTTTTAAATTCATAAAATCTTACTGAAGGGTCAAAATTTTTGAATATTTGTAAAATACTTCATAAAACGTTTAGTTTATTTATTATTAAAAAGCAAACAAAATTTGTTAAATATAAATAAATTTTAAAACAGAACGATTGTTTTTGACTAATACAATTTTAATTTGTTAGATAATTTAATGGGCAGAAGGAAGGGAACTAAATTTTTCAAGAAAAATACAAAAGATGGTGGATAAAGAGGTTCAAATTTTCTTATTTATTGGACAGATATTTTATATTTTAAAATTTAAAAGTATCCACCTTGTACTTTGTCCTATTTGGAATATTTCCAGAATAAACTTCAAACTTTGTTATTATTATTATTATTATTCATTTTCAAATAAGCATATCTGTTGGTTGTAAATAGAAAATCATTCGTAGAAATTTTGAATTAATTGGTGAACAATTTTACTACTTAATTATCATCGCATTGAGCTAAAGCAATATTGCCCTGGGGTGTTTCTTGGTTCCCAAGCCTTTCGGCGGGTATATTACTCGGGACTGTTGTAGAAGCTCCAGCACACCCTGCTAACTTATTACCTTCCAGAATTACCACAAAACCTCACTATCTACTCTGTATTCAATTTTAGCAGGTTTCCTACAAGGTAGTATGCTCTTCACACTTTACACTCCCGGACATATCTCTAAAATCACCTGCATATTCTCGAAACCAGGCTAAGACAGTGGAATATCAAGGACAAAGAAACATTCACTCTAAACAAGAAAACCCTACTAGAAGTGCACTTCAACAATGTCCTAATCCCTGTTGCAAACCATTCACGATACCTCACAGAGGGTTGTAACGGAGTACGTCCTGACTTACGTTTATGGATGTGCTGAGGTGGTTGAGATAGTTTTGTTTAATTTGCAGTAACGAGAGCAGATTTGACCTTGAACGAAATGAATATTTAAGTACAGTTACATATATAGTTCCATTCGATACATAAAATGGAGCATCTAGGATTTTTCGTAGATTTAAGTATTGGAAGTTTTTATGAGGTAAATGTTTGACTGTACCTAGCTGGACTTCCAGATCGTTAGCCCATTTAATTATGGTGTTGTAAAGAAGCATTTTATTTTTAGGTGGTTTGTCAGAATGTTTGTCAAGAAGTCATACAAGAGGCCTGTATCGTGCCATAATTTTTGACGTTTCAGTGTCTGAGGAAACCCCTACCCAACCCTTAATTATAAAACCTTCTGAAAAAGGTCAAAGACGGATTTTAGGCTAACAACTCCACCAACCACACAGATGTACATATTCTCATTTAACCCATTCCCGCCGGAAAAGGTTGCATTCCAAATTATCCCATATACAAATCTCTCTATCAAAAAGCGTCCATCCACTGATTTACCCCGTAATCCTCACAGGAGACTGACTGAAGCGTCAGTGGCTCCACGCCAATCTGTTTAAACACCAAAACTGTTTGATATCGGTTTCGTAGAATGGAGCCCATCGATCATGCTGATGTACAAACGGCTTCCAACACTCGATGTTTGCTTTTCATATTTACATGCTATAGTTTGCACGTATAATATTTGTTTTACTTATTGCATCGATACTCCTAGGAATTTCCATGGATGGTTTCAAAAAAACGAAATATAATACTTAGCCATCACATTCGGTTGTTCTGTTAATAACCAAATTTAAAAATTAAACCTTTTTCTGGTGTGTTATATTCGAAATTTATTGGCATTTCGATCCCCTAACTCACTATCGGCTATTAGTTTTTTAAAACGAAATAAAAAAAAAAGTTAATTTCTATTTATGTGCATGTAAATAGTTGGATTACTCCCGCCTGCAAACAAATAAACAAATCGAAAGAAGGAAGCTTGACTATTGGGGTTAATTTTTCTCTGAACTTAGAAACAGGGAACAAGTTAAGTTTGATTATGGTTCATGGTTGGCATTATGGCAAAAGATGTAGACATAAAGTAGACATTATATATTAATGGCATTGTTACTTTGATAAAAACGAACAGACAACTATTGCTAAGAGATGGATCGACCTTGTGTAGATTTTTGTGTGTGATAACCAGTTATTAGGTCACAGAAACATAGAAACTCCCAACTTTATGCCAAGCTTTCGTTTAATTTGTAAACATCTTCAGGGCTGAGTTAGTTTACAATTTCTTTTTCAGGTACATATGTAAATGCTTATAAAGCCTTGATAATACATAAATAACATGTAAAAGCAGCAATTAAAATATCAAAATACGAAAAACGATTATAGATAAATTATTTTTCACCAATGTGGTTAATTTAATAAATAAAATAATTTTGATGATTGTCTAAAATATTGTCTATTCTATATTGTCTATTCTAAAATATTGTCCGATATTTTATCTTATGAATTAAACGAAAGCTCGGCATGAAGTTAGGAGTTTCTAAAGTTAAATGTTAAAGGAAATATTTTGCATGGTTGATTTGCCAAATTTTGCAAATTAGTTTCCATTTGTGCTTATTGAATACAGCGTTCCACTTTTTTTCTACATGTCTCTTTTTCGAAATTTTAATGTTTGATAAGGAGCAAGTTGTTAGTTCATTTTAATGGTATTTTTGAGCAATGATTAGCAATTTCTGATAAGTGGGTAATGATGGATGGCGATCGGAGTAGGATCCAAAAATTTCCCAATGGGAGGAACGTAAAAAGCCAAATCCACGTATATTAATATTTATAAAGGCAAAATATAGGAAAAGAGGGGTTTTGGTGGGGAGTAAGGACCGCCTACAGGTCCGGTCGGTGGCGCAGCCTATCGCGTCGGAAATGTAGTTGCCAGGAAGGGTGAAGGCACTAGTCGACGTCGAAAGTAGTCAGTTCTGTTAAGGCTGTCGAGCCGATCGGTTCGGTCCTGATGCCACCATGGCTTTCGTAGAGATCGCACTCTGTGCATTTATTTTTGCCGTGTCCTCGGCTATCGCGACCAACGAGCCCGACTGCGATTGGGAACGCGTGTTAAGTGTCGCCGACGAACCCGAAGTGACAGTGTCGTTGCAGTGCAAATTACGTACCATCGGAAATGCGGATAGCGTCTTGTCCAACTTGACCTCCGCGCAAATGGATATGATAACGACTCTCAAGTTAGAGTGTAGTGACGTACTTTTTTTCGAAAGCTCCCTCGAGCCGAACAGTTTTATGACCCAGCTTCACAGGTTGAGGGATTTGCGTTTAGAATTTTGTAAAATCCGTTATGTACCCGCGGGCGTGCTCACGACGTCGCGGGAATTGAAGAACCTCGTCTTGAGGACTCATAACACCGACTGGTCGGCAATGACGATGGAATTCCACTCCGACGCATTCAGAGGTTTGACACAATTGAAAACATTAGACCTTTCGGACAATAATATTTGGAACCTCCCAAACGAACTGTTTTGCCCGCTTTATTCTCTTACTCATCTCAACATGTCGCGTAACCGGCTTCAAAAAGTGCTCGAACTGGGTTTTTCCGACTGGGGAGCGGGTCCTACAGCGCCTGGAAAAACGTGCAACGTAGGCCTGGAAGAGTTGGATATATCCGCTAACGAAATCTCGGCGATACCCGATAACGCGTTCACCAGTTTGAGGTCGTTGCAAAAGTTATTGTTGCAAGATAATAACATCGAAACAATGGCGGATCGCGCGTTTGTCGGACTAGTATCGCTGCAATATTTGAACGCGTCCAGTAACCGACTTGTTGCTCTTCCGCCGGAACTGTTCCAGTCTACTCGCGACCTGCGCGAAATCTACCTTAACAACAACACCATCAACGTCCTCGCCCCCGGCTTGCTGGAAGGTTTAGACCAAGTTCTCGTGATCGATCTTTCTAAAAACGAACTGACGAGCTCCTGGGTGAACAGAGACACGTTTTCCGGACTCGTCCGTCTCGTTGTCCTGAATCTCGGTCACAACCAACTTTCAAAAATAGACGCCCAGATTTTTCAAGATTTGTACAGTTTGCAGATATTGAATTTGGAGCACAACCAAATCGAGTGCATCGCGGAAGGCGCTTTTGTCACCCTGAGCAATTTACACGCCCTCACACTTTCTCATAATAGGCTTACGACAATCGAGCCGTTCCACATGGCCGGCTTGTACGTCCTGAACCAGCTGTTTCTCGATCATAACAAAATCGACGAGATTGACGAAAAAGCCTTTAAGAACTGTTCTAATCTCCACGATCTCGGATTGAGTGGAAATTCGTTGAAAGAAGTCCCAGCGGGGATTTCGGAACTGAGATTTCTCGAGACACTAGACCTCGGAGAAAATAGAATCACAAACATTGTGGGCTCTTCGTTTCAAGGGTTGGACCAACTTTACGGGCTCAGGCTTATAGATAACCATATTGTGAATGTGACGAAAGACACTTTTTCTACGCTCCCCTCGCTACAAGTATTGAACTTGGCTTACAATAAAATCGAGCACGTCGATAAATCGGCGTTCGGTACGAGCTCGACGTTACACGCGATTAGACTCGATGGAAATCAATTGAAGGATATCAACGGGATGTTTATCAACTTGCCTGGTCTCGTTTGGCTAAATATTTCCGACAACCAATTACAGTGGTTCGATTATTCGCTTATTCCGCAGAGTTTGGAATGGCTGGACATGCACAAAAATAACGTGGCCGATTTGGGTAATTATTTTGGAAAAGGCGTTAATCTCGAGATAAAGATGTTGGACGCGAGTTTTAACAGATTGACGGAAATCAACGAGAATTCGATACCGGACAAAGTAGAAAGTCTTTTGTTAAACGACAATCTGATAAGAAAAGTCAAACCGGGCACTTTTCAAAAGAAAGCCAATTTAACTCGAGTGGTGCTATACGCAAATCAGATCCAGACGATTGATCTCGCGGCTTTGAGGCTGGATCCGGTGCCCGAAGGTAAAGAACTACCACAATTCTACATCGGAAACAATCCAATTCATTGTGATTGCACAATGGAATGGTTGCAGAGGATCAATCAGTTAAGCCATTTGAGACAACACCCTCGTGTTATGGATTTAGAATCTGTGACTTGTCAGTTGACGCACAGCCGTGGGAGCCCGACAAAACCGCTTATGGACCTCAAGCCCTCGCAGTTTTTGTGCCCGTACGAGACCCACTGTTTCGCCCTTTGTCACTGTTGTGACTTTGACGCATGTGATTGTGAGATGACGTGCCCTGCCAACTGTACCTGCTACCACGACCATACCTGGTCCGCCAACGTCGTCGATTGTTCCAACGCCGGTTACAATACCGTGCCGACCAAAATACCTATGGACGCGACGGAGATTTATCTCGACGGTAACGATCTCGGCGAGCTGGGAAGTCACGTATTCATAGGTAAGAAGAAATTGGAGGTTTTGTTTTTGAACAACAGTAATATCGATTCCTTACACAACAGAACTTTTAACGGAGTCACCTCACTCAGGGTCTTGCACATGGAAAACAACCATTTGCAAGAATTGAGAGGTTTCGAATTCGACCAACTAGAAAATCTGAACGAACTTTATTTGGACCACAACGAAATCAAACATTTGGGAAACAATACTTTCAAAGCCATGAAAACTCTAGAAATTTTAAAATTGGAAGCCAACAATATCGTCAATTTCGAACCTTGGGAACAACTCTCTTCCGAAACTCTCGCCACCGTTTCCTTGGAAGGAAACACATGGACTTGCGCGTGTAGCAACATCAATCACATGGAGGTATGGCTTAAAGAAAATACAAACACTCTCAATGCCGATAAACTGTTGTGTTCTGACGGTAAAACGACCGTATTAGACGCAATGAAAGCTTGTAGCGAGGCCAGAGATACTGCTGCGGCGACTTCCGCCGTACATCGAAATACGTTTTACAACACGGCTATACTCGGAGAAGACTATATACCGTTTGTAGCCGCCAGCCTAGTTGTTTTCATAATTATACTTATGCTTACGATTGTCGGTTTTATTTTCCGTAAAAACATGAGCCTCTGGATACATTCCAAATACGGCGTCAGAGTTTTCGGAGAGGGTTCGGATAGAGAAGACGACAGATTGTACGACGCGTACATGGTGTATAGCGTCAAGGACGAAGAATTCGTGAGCCAAGTGATAGCCTCGAGCCTCGAAAGATCGGGCTACTCCTTGTTTCTTCATTATAGAGATCTTCATGTTATGAGTCCTTCGTACCTCACTGACAGCATCTTAGGAGCTTCTGACGCGGCTCGAAGGATCGTTATCGTCCTGTCACTCTCCTTCCTTCAAAACGAATGGGAGAGGCCACCGTTCAGAGCGGCTCTTCAAGCCTGCTTAGAAAGGACTCGTTCGAGAAGGAGTAAAGTCATACTCCTCCTGACGACCGACGTCGGACCCGATCCGGAACTGCAGCTCCTTCTCAAAGCCTGCAAAGTCATCTCCTGGGGAGAGAAGAGGTTTTGGGAAAAGCTGAGGTACGCCATGCCTGACGTACAACGGAAGAGTCAGGAAGGGCTTAAGAAAGTCGTCGTCGAAGGGAAAGGGCCCGGCGGCGCGAGGTACACCGCAGCACCGACATCGCAAGAAACGTGGTACCGGATGTCGCCGGCTTCCTTGACCCAATCTTCCGCCCCGACGCAGTCGACTTGTGTCTCCGAAGAGTCTTCCCAAAGGACGACCGACGAAGAAGAAGAGCCCCATAGTTACGTTTCTATCGACTACCAACAGCGGCCTCCTCCTAAGGTCCATCATCACGTCTATAGCTGTATACCGGACCCCCAGTGTCCACAAGGCGGCAGGACGTATTTTGTTTAACAGGTCAGTAAAAATATTTCATTTTTGACAAAGGGTGGCCACAAACACCGAAATATTTATTTTTTGAGCGTTACTTTAATCAAATTGTATACGTTTTCCCTAAACAAATTTCATAATAATATAAAATATACAAACATTTTCACTATTAACAGTTAGTTCTTTCTAAAACATTTCCCATTTTTCTAAAACATTTAAAAACGCGAATAAAATTATGTGGCCACTCTGTTGAATACTAATTTCTTTTAGAGTTTTATGGTTTCCTCCTAGAAATGTCCAATCTTGGCCTGGGTTGTTATCCCTGCCTCGTCTAGGTAGTGGTTAAGGGTATTCTTAACTGTCCCTTTCTACGGGCGGTTAATACTTTTCCTTTTATGTTTTTTCAGCCCCCTTTTCTAGTTAACAAAAAAAAAGTTTTCCCACATCTCTAGACGAACACGGACCAGGACCTTGATTTTCAAAAAAAAAAAAAAAAATAAAAATAAAGATAGAAATCGCCAGTTAACGATGATAAAAATCCCAAACTCCCTCGGATTTTAAAATAAACTCAGAATGTGTCCCATGCACACAATATGTAACAACTGTTGTGGCATGGGATGGGATTTGCTGTCTAATGGAGCAAATGATTGATGATCGGTCGGCGGCAGGGGACCTCAGAGGAGAGCCTACACCATATCCACTAGACCGGTATTAATACTCCGTCATACTTTATACATCTTTTATTAATAATCCAATCGGAATCCAGGCAATGATTTTACAAGAATCTTATTACGTTTTGTACCCGCTTCATTAGAGGGCTTTTTTTTACCGATATCGGGAAGGAAACTATAAATCTTAATCTCGAACTATCTACATATTTACTCTTTTTTTTTATCTTAACGAAACAATTTTCATTGTTGAACACGCCACTTAAGGGCTTAGGGTTAAAATGCTGGGGTGGTCTGGGACGAAAATATGATTATAATGTGTGTGGTGAATAGAGAGGGGTCTATGGCATGTATTAGAACAATGGCCTCAGGTTCTCCAAGGCTGTAATTATCGGGAACGGCTCGAAGACTGGAGTCTGTATAGGCCCCTCTATATTGATTGACCTCTCCTTTTGTATACACTAAAGTTTCCCTTTCTGTTTTAAAACAAACAAGTGCTTTATTTCATTGATGAATGCGTGAATAATGAGTTTGCTCATGCGACAATGTCACCTAGCTTTTGACAAAGCTCCACGGCGAGGCCGTTTATTCTTAGATCGTGGGGTACAAGGTTTTAAAAGAATTATAGGAAAGTCGCTCCGGGGTGAATGTACATTCTCGCCTGATTACTCACGTTTTTATTTTTTATTGATCAATCGCGTTTGTATATACTCATTTGCTCTTGAAACATTATAACGCCCTAAAAATCAATGTTTCTGCATAAAAACGTATCAAAAATATACAAAAAATGCTGAAAAATAACTATTGGTAATTAGAAACGTCTTTTATAATTACTAAAATTGGATTATTTTATTCCACCCGCTCTACGAATAAATCGTTCAGTAATTTTGACCCATTGATTATTTCATTCAAATAAATATTTTAAATTAAAAAAGTCGATCTCATTTAAGTTTTTGACCCTTGCTAAAGTCGCACCATGATAAAAGGATTATCAGGTGTAAAAATGCTCTATATTTTGCAGAAATTGGCGTTTAATTTTTTCACTCTTAACTTTCCCTGTTGTTAAGACTTTCAAGACGTAAAATTCACCTCGGAAGTATAAGTATTAATTAAATCCATTAGAGTTCGTGGTCCGATTGATCAAATAAATTCTGAAGTTCTTTTCAGAGGATCTTCGGAAGAGGAAGATCTTGCATCTGGAACCTAAATTTAACCTCTGCCGAAGATCCTCTGAAAAGAACTTCTTGTATCCAGCAGGTCGATAATCTATTTTCATCGTTACAAATAAATTCTTTCAATTAATTAATCTTTATGTAAGGGATTGGTTAAGATAAAAAGTCAGTATCACGAGCGGGATTCGAACCTACGGCCTTCGGCTATTAAATACTTTACCACTTGAGCTATTGTGACTTCGATCTATAAGTATTAATGTGCCTAATTTTATTGTTAGTTTAATATTTATTATGATCATGAGAACTTTCTTGTGAGTGATATGCACAATTCGATTTTTGAAACGAATATCGATGTCAGGCTGTCAAACAACCGGCGTTTCTAGGTTACATCGTTGATAATTTAAAATCCGGCAGGTTTTCTAATAGTCGGATCCTTCCTATCTTGTAAAACATAAATAACACAGAAGCGTCCGCCAGGTAAAAAAGGCCATTCCGGTAACAGTAAATTGGCTGACATGGGAAAGGGCAGGGAGAAAAAGAGGAACCCGACCGGTCTAATAACTCAGCATCTTATAACTTTTTCTTTTTTAGACATTAACCTAGGTGAGGCCGGTTTTAATTATAAAAATCTCAAAAGGACAGTGTTCAGCAATGGCTTAAGAAAGTGAAAAATTACAAGGAAAGAAGAGACAGGTTTTGCCATTGTTTTAGAAGATGAGCCTTTATATTAGTTTGTAGCTTGTGAACAAAGAACTTACCACTTGGGTCCACTCCTAACTTGATCCCGTGCCAAACTTACATCTTAAGGCCTTGATGGTTTAACTTTGGCCTCAAAGTGTATAGCCGGGCTAGATTCCAACCCCTCCCCCGACCAAGGACGAGCGCTTCAACCCCCGATATTTTTACGTGACCAAAATTGCATTTTCCCCTGAGCTACCCCTATAAGGATGGAGGGAGGCCGGGCTCAGAAAATACCCCTTGTGGGTCTTATGAAACACATAAAGTTACCTCCCTTCTTGTATGCTCGTAGTGTTTCGTCCATAAGTCACATTTCAAGTAAATGCTCTTTATGCACTTATATTGTCAAATAGGTTTAAAACAGTTTGTACACTTCACATTTGTTTTTCGCTTGGTTTATTTGAAAACCTTTTTCCAATTTGTCAATTCAGGTAAGACTATGAAGGTGAGGTTGTATTGCGTCTAAGAAGGTCACAATTTATTGAAGTAACAAATAAACACAAAAAACATCTATAGCAAAAGAGATGATCTATTTATTATTAAATAATACTAAGCCATAATGAACAAAACATGTGAAAAATGAACGATATAATTTCCCTTACTAATATTTACAATTTAAAATGAAATAAAGCCATATTTTATTTTTTTGAAAACGATAGTTACTTAAGTTGATGAAATGATTATTAAAATAGATAATCGTGATGATGGAACAGCAGAGTTGCTCCTCCTTCGATTGATGAGCTAGAGAGATGAAATTATCGACTGCGATCGATAATTGTGTTTATTGGTGGGTGAAGATAAATTAAAAAAATGAATGTAGTTGAGACGTTTTGAATGAGATAGACCAACAAAAATGTAAAATTGAACTGAAAGTAATGCAAATAACCAAAAGAAACGAGCGACTAATAATTTATTTACGACCCGGCACACAACAAGTTTTTCTGTCTAAAATGTAATATCGGATTTGAAGGAGAGTCTTAATATCATGAAAGTTTTCTATCGATTAAGTTTTTAGCGAACAAAAAGTCAAAGACTGTGACCAACAAGAATCGAAATAGTGTTGACACGGGTTCGTTGGTATCATCTGGACAATGATCAAACAATCTTGATTCGGAGTCAGTGAGATATCGGCATCGATAAACCCAGACCCCATGAGTAATTAACAACTTCCCATTTGGATTGTAATGTAAGAAAACAACTGGGTTGGCGGTTTAAATCACTGGAGATATCGTTACGTTGAGACATTCTATGAAATCTTACACCTTTATCACAGCACTTTGGAAAATGAATGTTCGAATCGATTATAAAGATAGACTGCAGTAATTTCTTAGTTTTAGGGCCAGAACGAGTTGCGGTTATAAGTTTTAACTCTTAAATTATTTATTCAATAAAGCATGTAATAACACGATTTAGAACAATATATCGATCTTTTTAATTTCGGTCTGTAAATAAAAGTACTGTTTGAAAAGACATGTCAAGAAAGGGGCTATATTTATTTTACTCCTTCACAAAACTGGGGACAACCTGCCTACCGGGTCAATACTGGCATGACTTGGCACTCGAACCCAGCTCACTTCACTTTCTTATGGAACGTGCATTGTCATGTCGAATGACAATCAGGACAGAAGAAGGTACACAGTATGTATGATGATTTCAAAAGACAGAAGGTGTTTAGATTGATTCAAAAACAACCGACACCCATAGGTACATTGGCGAAGAAACATCTGTAATTAAGAATAATTAATGATCACAACCTCACTTTTAATATAAAAATGTGTTCTATGACAAAATATATGATCAAGCAGCGAAGATAGGCAGGCCAGAATGGCCGGAAACGTTTAAAATTTACGTTCATCACCCCGCCGACCTCAGAAAAATATATTAAAAAATTGGCTTTAGGATAGAAAAATCACTGAAAGAAGAGGATAATCCCACAATTTTCACGATTCACAAACCACAATATAATAAAGAAACAGGAAAAAACATTCCAACCAAAATTTTGTACTACAATTAAAATTAACAATTTTGGATGAGTTCTAATCTTGTAGATGCTTCTTATGACAGGTCGTTACCATCTATTGGGCTTCCCATTAGACCTTCATTCAGCGACAATACATGCTCTACTAATGACAACATAAAAATTTAATTTGATGTCATATCCAAAAGAATCAGTAAATGCATCCAAAATCTTCAAAATCTGGGCAAACACAACCTGTCAATATCTTGGGTGCCAGGACATAAAGGAGTTCTGGATAATGAAAAGCAGACCAACTGGCCAGATCAGGATTTGCAACACAGACTGTTCCATCACAAAATGAGCCCACAAAAATCAAAATGAGAAGGTAAGCCTAGAGGTGCCAACTCGTGGTTAACACGTTCACTGCGGATGACGCCATGTTGGCGTCAAAAATAACTTGCTTCACCAGACATGTGACGGTGGCGTCAAGTT